TAAATAGCTTGTTGTTGATTTATTAATACTGTAGATAACATTATTGTACAATCTTGTTGACAAACAATCCAATATTGCTTTTGCGTGATTTCCTGTGCTGAGTTATTCTTTACACAGTTAATCTTTAGCAATTACTCAGTTATTCTTTAGCAATAGATTCGAGGCAGTTATTTTGAGTGTTAGATAGATCGTCGAAGTTATAAGAAAAGTGAAAGATATGCTGCATTGAAATACATGCCATATTTTACCTTAGGCATTACAAAACTTTGCCTAATACTTCAATTTATGTGCATGTCATTTCGGAAAGGATTTACATTTTCTTCGTATTCTGGGTTGAATGAATTCTTTTCTGATGAAAATCATAAAGATTATATTTAAAATTTTAAATATATTATTTAAAATGTTAAATGTTAAGGTTGTTACGTATGTTATTTAACAAAAAATATATAAAAAATAATTTTTTTCAGTTTCTCTCCTTTATGCTATAACACAAATTTGTGCTAAGAGGGCATACTATCAATTTTCAGATTGGTTACACTATCTATTTAGGATATAAAATTTGAAAACAAGAACCAATAAAAAATAAAATTCCTGCCCATAAATTTAAAAACAATTAATTTATATTTTAACGGCTCGGCTGTAATTTTGACGACTCGGCTGTAAGCAAGATTACTCATAAGTAAATCAAACAATGAAATAATAATTTTTCTGAAAGAAAACATCCTTTGAAACTCCTTTAATAGCATAAGTAAGAAGATAGTAAGTAAGAATGTGGAAACATATTAAATTTCTCTGTAACTAAATATTATCGCTTTGTATTCTCGCCTAATTTCACTGGACAAATAACTGCTGGAAATGCTGTAAGCCGCCAAACATTAATATAATATGTTAATATTTTAACAAGTGTTAAAAATAAAGTACAATAAGCTGAATTTGTACTATTGTTCACCTAAATATTACTATTCTCCACAAACATTAATCTAGGATGATTATCTTTTGTTTTAAAATGTTTATCTTTTGCCAGCCATTTTTACGAAGGCTACCCATGCCACTGTTGCAATAATAAAATGAGAGTTCCCTTAAACCACATTCCTTTCGTGATACAATCGACGCTCCTTATAACGACCATTTATTACAGCAGCCATTTTATTACAATAATAGGAACAAAATGTCTCTAAATGGAAACGTATTAATTATATTTTTGCTATAACGAATATTTGTTATTACGTCCTTTTTCTCTGGAATCTGAGAGGTCACTGTAGTGAGAGTTATTTGCAATTTTTTTCAGGTGAGATTGTAAGGATCTTAAGTTTTACTAACGTTTATTTTATTTTAAATCTTTACTATCACTTCTTATTTTCTACTTCCGGCCAGAATTATAAGCGTTAAGGTTTTTATGCAAAGTTTGTCTGGCGAACGCCAAGTATTTAAGTTGTGGCTTTTTGCCAAGCGAGAGAGAGGAAGCAGTGAGTCAAAGCAGGCCGCTTACCTTAGAAGTTACGCAGTTGCTTGTTGCCTTCCAGGCCAGAGGTTTAATCCTCTTGATAACTTTTAAACGTATTGTAGTGTTCTCAGTTATCTGTACTACATACGCCTTCCTGTTTAATATAAGGCCAATCTTCCACGTTTTATTAGTTTAAAGTTAAATTAGAGTTTAGTTTTATTTTTATACTTTTACGTTAGACCCCAAGTAGCGGGTCAGTGTATTCCGAAGTACGGAAGTTATTGTATATAGAGAAAAATAAAGGGTTTTGTATACCCTTCATGTGTATCCTGTCTACTTACCACAATTAGTGAACATAGCTTTAGTAAGCTCTCTGTTCCGAGTCAGGTCCTTGTATGTTCCCGAAGAAGGTAAGAAGGAACATTGACCCTGATAAGATATCTACAACTACCGATATTATCTTCTATTGAATATAATAAATTACACTTCAAAGCACCTTAATTTTATAAAATTCTGTAACTGAAAAGCTTTTATGCAAACCTTGAGAATGGCAATTGACACCAGTGTGAGATCCACTCAGATCTAGACCATCTCGTGAACCATATACGGTTATTATGATCTCTCACACCAGAGGCGATTCCAAAAAGCTGAAAATCCCGAGGACCACACTCATAATTATTTAATATATAGCGATCAAACAGCCCGAGACAGACTTGACAGTGCTCTTACAGTATCTATGGAGCCTGAACGGACCACCATAGGAACGGTGGTTCTAGTCCTGTGAAGACAGTTAATCTCGCCGTACTATTCACACCCAATGTATGAATGTAGCGAGTAACCGGCTCGGAAGGAATGACACTTAACAGGAAAACATTATGACATGTGACTCTAAAAAATGAAATGATATGAAATTCAAATTATCTCACAAAATTGAACTAAGCATTACATGTCCAGGCGTAAAGTATTGTGCGAAAGGATGTCTTCGAGAAGAGGTGAACCTATGGATGTTTATGAGATGTGAACAGGATACGAATTTAAGCTGCACCATTTCACTACTGAAGCTCCTATTTCTTATTTCTTGGGTATCTATTAAACATCTTGAAACAGGTTTATCCTTGTTTATAAATATCTTACTAAAAATACCACATAAATATTCTTGCTTACAAATATCACGGAAATTAGTAGAAGCTTCATTAGTGCAGCTAAACTTATTCTTCACTTAGAAATCTGGTAGGCAAATGTTTACTACAAATAATAAAAAATACTCAAGATCTTGCTGAAACATCGGCACAGAAAAAGATGCTAAAGTTTTAATAGTTATTGAACAGTTATCAAAGACCGCCCTTTAAATTAAACAGTTTATGCGTGAAAATATTTCTTAATGGTACTGTATAACTATCTACATAACCAGTGAATAGAATAGCAATTTTTATTAATTTTAATCATAATTAAACCGAATAAGGAAAAATGTGATAATTGATCATTTAATAATTTTGACTGTGGATATGTTGGTATTACTGGAGATCATATCATTAAACCCACTAATGAATATTTGCCCAGCTTCAGAACCCAATTCTCACTCAAAATAAACAATATGCAAGTATATTTTCATGGTTCATAATGTAACCGAAACTATTTTTTCATGATGTCTATTACCACGATGTCCATCCGTAAGTTGAAACCCAAACAGTTTTGACTAACCCTCCAACTGCGAATAATCTATCTATTACAAATTACTGTCTGTCTACGGATAATCTATCTATAATAATGCATCTATTTTAATTATCTTTATATATATAAGCGGCTAAAGTGTGTGTCGCCGATAGTTTATTGTTGCCACTCGGAAAAATGAGCACGGAAATTAACGTTTCCGCAGTTTTTAATTAATATCTCAACCGATCAAAGTCGTATGAAGATGAGAACTGTATCGATGGATTCGGAGAATTTTTTGGAATCCTAGGATATGCGTCTCGAATTTCAACTCGGCGCCGTTCCGTAGATATTCGCGAAAAAACGAATTTGGCACATAGCCAAATCCCTCTAATAGGGAAAACCCAAGAAAGAAAGTGGGAAATGTAGGAAAAACGTAGGGAAAAATTAGTTTTTAATTAATATCTTGGCTAATCAAAGTCCCAAGAAGACGCGAATGGTCAAAATGGCGTGCCACGGACCTGCGGAATACAACGATGTGCTTCGCTAAGCCCGGGAGACAGCCGTTTCGGAGGAGACGATGTTACTTTACCCTATATATATATGCGGCTCAAGTGTCTGTTTGTCGCCGATAGTTTATTGGTTGCTTGCGTAACTGTACTAGCCAATGGGGTGAAGTTGCCACAGCACAGGGTTGCTGTTTCAATTGAGACGTAAACAATTTTCTGTAAAACTTGCCTTTGCTATGACCATCCATAAGTCTCAGGGCCAAATGCTTAAGCGCGTTGGCATCTTTTACCTGAGCCTGCATTTGGACACGGTCAACTTTATGCTGCCTGTTCAAGAGTTCGTGAAAGAACGGATATAAAATTAAAAATATTGGATGGTCCTCTGCAAGACGAGCTTCAAAAATGCTGGAAAGATCTAGACACAGGAATGTTGTGTAGAAAGAGATCTTTGACATGTGAATTGACATTTCATTATTTAAATCACCTTTATTTGATTGAACTAGCGGTGGTTGTTAAGAAATGTACCGCCAATGGTTTCCTTCATTGTACTCTACTTTAAGAATTATATAAGCAAATAGGAAGGGGGAAACCCCGATGTGACAGTAAGTAAATGGGCGTGCTCGCCGCCTGCCCTGGTAATTCAGTTTGAATTAGCAGACACCTTTGCACAAATCATTTTAATTATAATTTATAATATCTACAACAGCGGTCATTTCGTATGACCGCCCAGCTTTCTAGTTATTTTATATCTCCCATCTCATCACTAGATTACTATATAGCTTTTAGGAGAAAAATTAGTTCATACTCCTTGAAACATTAAGTAACCTTAATCTAAACATTTTAGTTAAAATAAATTACCTTTTTACCTTTATAATAAGATATATTCGTAACTGATTCCATACTGAAGTTATATTTTTGCTCATCAAAAACAAAAGAAACTGCAAGCCTATGCGCCGAAGCATTAGCTTATTTCGGTCCAGTGTTTCTAATTTCCGATTGGAAAAATATTTACATATTTGCTTTACTTAGAAGTTGTAGGTTGCTAAATTATTATAAAATAAAATACTTTAATTACAGTACAGCTCTTTGAAAATTTTCATTTTTAGGTATGCATTTTTATTTGCTAATTTAATTGTCTTAATTTTTCCCATACTTGTGCTTTTTTCATCTATTCAAATGCTTCCTTCAGTTAAATTAATGATAAAAATGTTTTTATCATGTAATCAAATTCTGTGCAAATAAGCGAACTATTCTTACATTGCAGTATTATTGCAATTTTATTAATGACAAAATTTACATTAATTCTTGGTTTCCAGTGCAATTTTGAAACTCCAAGTCAGTGTTAACTTTAATGCTTAATGTTTGGAAATTCATGATTTTATTATGTGTACTTGCAGAACGAGCCTTACATGATGAAAGTAGAAGACGAGAACGGAGTCAAATATGAAGGCTATTGTGTGGATTTAATTGATGAAATAGCTTCTGACCTTAAATTTCAGTACAGAATTAAAGAAGTTGATGATGGAAGCTACGGAAGAAAGAATGATTTAGGAGAGTGGAATGGCATGATACGAGAACTTATAGACGGAGTAAGTCTAAATTCCATACTGTGAAGTTTGAACTTTTGAAAACAATGTTGTAGTATTCTGCTGAAAGCATTCCCAGCCAGAAAGAACAAAATTTTATTTTTCTTAGGAATATTTACATTTAAATAAATACAGAAATCCTTTAACCCTGGAAGAATACTTGAAATATTTTTAGATATAACGAAGCAGTTGCTTATTAATATTAAAAGGTTTTTAATGATAATTATACAACTTATGATTTATTATACGACTTCGTTAACAAATTAGCAAACAACTATACGACAATTATTTAAATTAACAATTATACGACTTAATTATTAAGTCAATACGACTTAAATTATATTAAATTAACAATTATACGACTTCATTAACAAATTGTAAATAGGTATAATTTTCCAAAACCAGTAATACAATAATACCCGCTGTCGGTGGGACCTAGATAGGATGTCCTAAGGATATACTGGGATGTGACATTAAGCACTCAGGAGGATAAGTTTAGGAGGAAACTGGGATATTACGGGATGTCCTGGGATGTAGTAAGTAGGACTTAAATCTAATAACATCCCATAGCTGTCGATGGACATAGATAGGATGTTTTAGGATATAAGGGGATGTGTTTTAGGAGGTTAGTGGGATATCCGGGATGTCCTGAGTAGAATAAGTAGGAGTTCATATCCTAATAACTCCCGCGCTGTCGATGGACTTAGTTAGGATGTCCTGAGGATATCCTGGGATGTGACATTAAGCACTCGGGAGGAGGTGTTTAGGAGGTTCGCGGGATATTCCGGGATGTCCTGAGGATGTGCGCATATCCCGCGTGCAACATCCTCGGAATATCCCAAGGATGTTTTTGTGCTTTGTGAGAATGGTCCAATAATCTGTAATCCTCCATTGAACAGATATTACATTTTGCTCTTTTCATGGCCAAGTCTATTTTCCTTATTTTCAAAATTATTCATTTAATCAAATATTTGTTCATAAGGAGAACGTTCATGGTAAGAAAAGCATTTGACATCTTTTAGCGATATCTTAACATGGACAAAGATTCCATTCTAAAATCTCTTTGCAATACACAAATATTTCGGTTAAATTCATCAGGGATAAAATTCACGTGTATTGAAGCGGAAAATTTATTTTTCATATTCACGAAAACGTTTTAGGTAATATTTTAGCATATTCTTCCTACACAATTTCCAATTAAATCTAGAAGAATAAAATCAAACACTGTATAGTAAATATATTAAAAACAAGAGCATTACTTTTGAATAACGAATTATTAAAACTCATTTTAATCATTTACGCTGCTATTTTGACAGTTCGTAAACTTAATTTAATCATTTCTACCTTGACACTTTGACATTCTGTAAATTTTATTTCTTTATTTCTGCATTTACATTTTGACATTTTACAAGCAATGATTACATTGTTTTTACTGTTGCATTTTCTAAACTTTATTCTTTTAATTCTTCGGCGAAAGTTCATTCAAAAACACGTGACGAAAAAATATCTGTTTAAAATTTCTAAGCACTTCGTTAAATATTTAATCTTATTTTACTTGTAGAATTGGCAACGCAGTTCATTAATTTTTCAGGCTTTCAATTCTTAATAAGTAAGCCGTTAATAATAAATGGCCAAAAGAATGACGTAAGAATCATATGACATTTAAAGGCCATTCTTCAGATGGCATGTAGCTAGCACTTTTATTTTCTGCAATCAGAAAATCCTGCATTTACTTTGCAAAATTTTGCTTCTTGAAAACTACCACTGGAATGGCTTCAGAGAAAAAATGGCAATTATTAGCAAAATACTGAGTTATTTATACTATATTTATATTACTCGTTCAAAGCGGCAATTTGCCCAGAAAGATTTTTAATTTCGTTTTGGCATTTTGTGTTGATTCACTACAAGCGTCGTTTCACTTTCAAATTGTTGACACCAAATATTATCTAACCTAGTATTATATTTAAAGAAATTAAATAATGAAGAATCTGCATGAATGTATGCATATTTTCTCGCATTGTGAAAAAACCGACGGTACCTAGAGCCATCAGAAATTTGAATTAACGTAATCTTCCATAAAATATGGGCATCGGGGAAGCCTCTAATTTGAATTTCGGAAATTTGTTTTATTATCGATTTAATATTTTGTAAAACTTCTTCAACGAATTTTTGATTAACAAACTCGAGGATTTCAAAGCTAGCAATGGCAACATTGTACAGAAGAAACATTTTTATCACCAGCGCGCAAGACTGTGTATTGGAAATTCTAAAGATATGCTCATTTTAAAATTATTTTTTGATATTGCTCTGGAACTGAATTTTATGATTTATGGGCGAAGAACATGATATTTAATAAATAAAGGTAACACACAAAATATTTAAAAAAACGCCCCTTTGGACGTAATTTAAAATCTGAAACCTTTCAGATTTCTACTTATATTATATTTATATTGCATTTATTTATATTATATTTATAATTCCATCAATTATTTTTAAACTTCAAAGTATAATCTTCTGCATATTAATATGCCAAATTTTGTTCCACTGGCGTAAACTCATTACGTTTCTTTTACATATTTCGCAAAGCTCAATGAGTACATTCCACTAGTATGGCAGATACAAATGTATCTTTTGAGAATTTTCTTGGATGTATTTCAAAACTGACTAGTACCACTATTGAATAAAAGTGGTGATGATTATCTCTTTTAACAACATTTCTAACTACCAAACCTTTAACCCAGACTTTCTAACAAAACCATCATTCGCAAGAATATCTTACTTAAACTTTTATCATTAAGACAAAAAAACGGTACTTTTCCGTTTCGCCGGCGCAAATCTCGCCAAGCAGACTTTATTGGCGACAATAAACAGTATACACATAAAAAATATTTAAAAAACTTTAGTTCTAAGAATTCTCTTTTTGAAGGCATAAACATTTTAATATCGTTTAAAACTTTACAAAAAACCAATAAATTTGTAAAAAGACATTAATTTAAGAATTTACTATGCTTTCATGGTTCAACATACTAATTCGCAGGTTCATATCACGTGACACCAAGCGATCTCATCACACGTAAACTACTCTAGAAAAATCTAATGCTCTCAGTAATTATCTACATTAATTTCAAGTTAAATCTTAATTTGGAACACAAGTTTAAATGCAAGAAATATTTCAATGCGTACGAATAGCTTACTCAGAAATTATGTTAAACTGCAGTGCTTAACTTCACTAATGCATTCTCATTAGAATTGATGAACCCTTGACTTTCCTTTTCTATATTTTCGGCTTCGGGTAAGCGTTGTGATTGCATCCCAATTGACTTAATTACCAAAAATGGCCTTAGACATAAAACTGAACTATCTGATAAAAATTCTATGTAATAATATGCAAGCATTGAAAGAAAACAATCAATCTGATAAGAAAAAGCTGCGACTTGTTTTGAAAATGAGGCGTAAAAGGTTACCAGCGAGAATATTCAGTTTGGCATCGGTTGTACCATTATTGGCGACTTTATCGCTTGCGCCGGCAAAACTGAAAAGTACCCAAAAAACTTTTATGTAAGTAACTCGACAGAAAAGTGCCGCTAAAGAGACAAAGACACGCAAGATCAGGAGATAATTTGTCAGTGCAGTAGTTAACACTATCTTTGAATTTTAATGCCATGTGATATTTTACTTCTGTTGGCTTGTCGAGGTACTTTTTTCGTGCCTCCATACCCCACTGATCTCCAAGGTTTTATCTCCTTCACAATTGCATCATTGATATTGTAAGGCTGTACCATTATTTTTTCTTTAATGTAACGATGCAGCAAACTTCATACAAAAAGTTATTAGTAGTTCTTTTTTATTTACTCCGGAGATATGATTTGTGTAACTGCTATTTCTCCTGACCAATAATAAATGGATCCTGTTTTTTAAACTTATCATCTGATAATTTAAGCTACGACTACATCTGAGATTCTTCACCAATCTATTTATTCCGGACAAAAGCTGGTACATCACATATATATATATCAAACCTACATATAGAGAGTGACACTACTATACACTCTCTCTCTCTCTCTCTCTATATATATATATATATACGTAAAAATATAGAAATGTTTATATCTACTGAGATTTTGCTTTTTTCTTGCAGAAGGCGGACATGGCCGTCGCTGATTTAACAATAACATACGTACGAGAGGAGGCTGTAGATTTCACAATGCCATTCATGAACTTGGGCATCTCCATCTTGTTCAAAAAACCCACCAAAAAGGTGCCGAAACTCTTCTCATTTTTGTCTCCTCTCTCCGTGGAAGTCTGGTTATACATGGCCACGGCGTTCTTGGGTAAGTTCTTTATTTTTCACTATTTATATGATATTATTTTTGTTAACGACAACGCTAGAGATCTTAAGCAATATGGAAAAATCATATTAACGTTTTGTCTCATTCTATTCGTTGGATGCAATTGAGACAAAAAGTGATTAAGAAAACTATTCATAGGATTTAACTGCTGATGTAACATACTTTAACGACGATGTATGATAGCTTCCTTTCAAGACTGAACCTCTCTGAATTTGTATCACCATGTGCGGATTAAAAAGACTAAAAATATTAAGACTATAAGACTATTAACACTATAGAAGAACATATATAGTATGGTACTGTGCAAAGAATATTTGTTGTAGTACTGTTATAGAAATGCGTAGTATATAATCAACTGTGGACTCCATTTCTCAACTCTATAAAATGATGTACAGATATAATGTACAAAATTGGAAAAGACAGATCATATATGCAGTTACAAAAGCCATAATGATATGTTAGAGAGCAGTATTTATAAAAGTGTTTTAGTAAAAGAGGCAAAAGTTCTTTCGTTCTCTTTTACAATATTATTCAGCAAATTATAAGGTTAATTTTGCTTGCCATTTCCTCTGGCGGAAATTCTCTGGGCCACTATTGAGAAACGCACCTAAACTTGCTAGTATCTTGGGAAGGTTTTTCATTAATTCTTAAACGACTCAAAGCTATGGCATGCATACCGGATCCGTACATGATAGTTTTACGTTTACTTATCTAGAGGAAAACAACAATTAAATTGATTGTAAAACACCAGCATGTTAAGTTGCAATAGACATCACCTGGAAGATTCATGTGTATCTAATTGGCAATCATTTTACAATCTTAGTAAATCAATGTTCAATTATTTATCGTAAGGTATGCAGTCTTTGGGCTAATTGTATCCATACTTTACACCACATTTCTGTGTGAAAAATACTCAGTACAGTACTATATTTCTCTTCAACAGACATAGTATCATTATAATAAGACTGACTTCAAGGATTCGTAATTAGTAAAATTGTTCTCCCACATGTTAACTCGGTCTCTCCGTATTTCCCTTCGATCTAGAAGTCATTTTGTAACCTCAGATCATCTTCTCTTTTGAAATATTCTGGTTAGTTTGTGATATCTGCATTCAAACTGTTATTGTAAAGAGTGGCCTTTTTTATAATGTATGCAACAGAACTGAATTTTTTTATGTATGTACTCCTGAATATAGCTAAACAAATCGCTTTTCTTATGTAAATGGCTTTTTCCCACAAAAATGTGAGACAAATATTAAAATTCAAATATCATATTGAAAAAAGCGCGATAGTAGTAAACGATATTTTCTCCCTCCTGTTGTTTGTTGTTGCTGACTCATGCTCACATGTCAGCCCAATCCCACGAAATTCTCGTGGCAAGAACCGCAGGATGACGCCTGTCGCTGGCAACAGCACCATACAGGTGACAGTGCGACTTTGCTCAGTTCTGCCCCCCAATTTTGATTGAAAGTACCCGAGGGGGGACGAGTTCCAGGCTCACTCACCCCTCTTACCCTACCACCAGCCTCCTGAGAAAACTTTCGGCTCGCCACATATTTAGAGTGCCCCCATGCCGCACGAACACTAAACATCCATGTCTTCTCCGGGATTCGAAACCGGAACCTTCGGTACGGCAGTCAGCATCGGTAACCACTACACCGGTTGGGTGGCTTTCCGCATGCCTTCATGGAGTATTTTGAAACATACTCGACGCGTAATCCAGAGGTCCAGGGTTCGAGTCCTGGCTACGATATTCCATATTTTTCACCTCTTCAGCTTCAAAATAAACTAATGACGCTACGTACGAACTAAAAGTGGTGGACAATAATTCGTTACTACCAGGAGGTGGCGAATGGTGGCGAATCTGGGTGCCCTAATCCCAAAGAATCTCTAAGGAGAAGAAGTAAAGGTTCCCCGAGGCAAATGTGGCTCCGTCAGACCGAAGAGACACATTATGTATATCCCTGAAGCTTACTTTAAAGGGGCAAACCATCCCAAAGCTATTCACCCTCCGTACCTCACTGCGCATGTGCGAAATAACATCAGGAGGCAACAAAGCAGATGCCGTCGGCCATATTAGTAATCTTTTACCACGTTGTTCAAAAAGGTTCTTTGTTGTTGTAGTCAGAGGTGCTTGGTTTTAGTTATGTGAAATTCTTTTAAAAACTTTTTAAATGTAAAGCTGTAAGTGAAATGGTTTTGGCTATTGGGTGAAAACTTTGCTCTTGGTTTTCACAATGGTCATTCCAAATAATTGTCTAAAAGTTTTCATGGTAATTTGTTTTTAAAGTTGTTGTAGGATAATTATAATGTATTTCAGTGTTTTTAATTTATTTAGGGATGCCTTTAATTGTTATTTCTATTTCAGTTAGTTATTGCAAATTTTGCTTTTAAAATTTCACTGTAAAATTTTAACTATGGATTCATAAAAATTTATTACGTTTTGTATGGCATGTGCTTTCCCCCCTTTTAAATTTACAGAAGAAAAGAATTAAGAAATTTATTTCATTTAAATTTTGTCTTCGTATGGCTCGCTGTTTAAATTAAAAGTAAAAATTGGACAGGATTTCTATAATTCACCCAAAACTCCAACTAACATCCTTTTGCTCACAAAACTCCAGAAATGTATGAAAGTAAAACATTTTGAGTTATTTCAAAGTAAAAAATTTACTATTTCCTCGAACTGCGCTGTTTAAATTCCACCCTGCGCTGGTGTTTCACTGCATAGCCGTGGCTCTTCGGTACAGCGGCGCAGATGCATGTTTACATTGCGTCTATGGAAGCTTTCATTCTTCTCCTTTGAGATTCTTTGCCTAATCCCCAATCGCCCTTTAAAAGAGGCGGTTTATAAGGTATTTTTACTCTCCTTTCTGCATGTGTTCGTAACTGGATGCATACTCGACGCGTATTCCAGAGATCCAGGGTTCGAGCCTTGGCGAGGACACTGGACATTTTTTACGTCTTCTGTTTCAGAAATAACCTGACGATTCTACAGCCTGCATGATAAATTTCAGACTTTTCAGGGCTTACAATTACTCTTGGTCAGGAGTGACAAAAATAATTATCAGACGAATGTTTATACTTACTACGAAAAGACCAAAAACGATAAAGTACTCTAAGGAAAGTAAAAAGAATTAAGTGGTTTAAGAAAGTGTGGGACAGAGAAGGAACGAAATCGAAATCAGGAAGATAAATTCACTTGATGGATAACTTTCCGAAGAAAATGAACCATTGTGAATACTAGAAGAATCAAGAACAAGCAGAACTATACCTCTCGAAGATTGTATCCTACAAGAAAACAGCAATTTCTAATCTTCGAAAGAGACGGGAAATCACAAAAAAGCGACGTTAATTCACAAACGGAAGTTTGAAAGTGACATGCATTCAAAATGTACATTTATTACGTATTAGGAATCTCCGAAGACAGCTTGTTTATGTTGGCTTAGACTAATCTTTAATTAAGCCCTACTTCTAAGGATACTACAATTCAAAGCACGTTTAGCGAGCAGGGAATAGAAGTCGTCTTTTCTCAGATCTCATTAATACTTTTTATGCGCCCTTTCACAGTTGTTTTTGGTAATCCTTGAACCACCTGTGCCACTCTAAACAAGAGATCGTAAGTAATTCTTATGTTCTCTACATTTCATCATTCATACATTTTACTCCATTATTAAAATGATTTTTCTATCCTTTCCCAGTTCGTTTGATTTTTAATAAATCGTAATTAATGCATTCTAGAACTCAAGACTAACGATTTGGTAGAAAGCTTTTACCGAGAATTATTGTTCTTATTAGTTTCCAGCAACATAAATTAAGACATCTGAGATAAAGTATTTCAGGAATTTAAAATTCTCTTTATCTCTTGAAGAGTATTTCAGGATTTCAAATTCTCTTTAACTTTTGACCAAATATTTTGCCTTTAAACACTTTACAGTAATGAAGGAAATGTTTGATATAGAATACTTTGTGTCATTTTATTTCACATTTAAATAGAAATTATTATCCAAAATTATAAATTATTATTCAACTTCTACTTACGCTTTCATTGATTTCAATAATAAATCACTTAAAAATTATTTTAAGCTGTAGCTTTTCTAGCTAAAGCTTTCACAAAAGATTGCTATTTCAAAAAAAAATTCTATTATTTGAAAGGCTTTTTGTACTAGTCATACACTTACTGGCCTTAAAGTTTAGAACTTAAAGTTTCCGCCTTGCGCACATATAGACGCTTACTACTACTAGATATATGTTTTAGTATATTTTCATCTTCAACCGATAGTCCTGTAGGTAAAATACGATTTAGATAATACTAAATGTAAAAAGATTGAAAACAGAGAAATTTAAAAGAATCATCTATTCCAGCGTTTCTCAAAGTCTTTTCAAGTTCATACTGTTTTTATAAGTTAAAATATTCTGCAGATCTCTTTACTCTTGTCCTCTTCGAAAGAATTTTTTAGCATTGTAGAGACATTAGGTAATTTTTGGAAGCAGACAAGATGAAAAATATGCATCGCCTTCGTCGGGAATCGAACCACGGACCTCTGCAATACGCGCCCAGCGTGCAGACCACTACACCACGAAGGCATGCCAAGAAGGCGGAAGAAATACCTTATAGCATATGTTACTTTTATTGATATTTTTAAGATACAATTAACTCAAACGGTTCTAATTTTATATTGATGTCACAGCCTTGATCTTTTTTATGTGGCCGGCGGCTTTCCGGAGGGGAACTAAATTACAACTCAATGCTGGCTTGGTGCTCAATCCTGATTTGCTAATGCTTGCTTTAGAAGCCAGAGCAATTCATTTTAACAACACCATCAACAAACTGCAAGGAATTGTACTAGATATTGAGGAATAGTGTGTACTATGGAGAATTTATATCAACGTCCCAAAATGAAAGCTCTTTTTATTCGGCGCAAAAGATCAATGATCATAAATATTCGTCCTTTATATATGTTTGGTGTGCAAATGTGGAGAGTAGCCAGTGTCAGTTATCTGGGATTTTATTAAAATCAGCGGGTTACTTGGAACACGTACACAAAATATGCGGTAGCTAAAACTGGTGTTAGAGGCGTGAACTGCACATGTTGGTGGGAAAGACTTCTGGACTTAGCCCTCACAGGGAATTGCTGAACTTATATTGACATTACAAGCTTATTAAGTGCTTTACCTCACAGAGTCTGATCTGAAGAGACTTCCGATCACGCAAAAGAGGATCCTCAGAAAGATTACTCGAGCGCATTATTATATTAGAAGCAAGCTCTTGCATAATGATTTTTAAATTAATTATATAATTGACTACCCACAGAAATGCAATGGAAATTCTTCACTAAATACATGCACTGTCGTCTCCAGGGCAATTTATCCGCCTGTTTGTACAATGAGATCCTCTTACTGAACTTCACCGTCAAGCAGTTTGCAACGTGTTATCTTATAGATAACAGTTTCGCTACCTAGTCTGAGTTAATCTCTGGTTTTCTCGGGAAATGTGCTCTCTGATTTCTTTTAACGACTCTGATAGTTGCCTGGCTTATGCGACAACAGTCTTCTCCTTCCTACTTGCCTCCTCTTTCATCCTTAATTACAACCGAGGAATACTTAATTACAACTGGGGAATTACAACTGAGTTTTACTCGCGTGATGCGCTATGAGGAATTGACTGAATTACCTTATTCAGGCCTATATTTCTTGGCTACATAAGCATAATCCTTCGATTACTGGAGTGTTGGACTATTTTATATTAAGCCGTTACGTTAATAAAAGAAGATTTAATTCAAGACTAATAGTGTTTGGATAATACTTATTTTATTAACTAAAAGTTAATAAATGTTGGTACTCAAGTTAATGAGATAGATGGCCTGTCGATTCTTCAATTAATATTCCATATTTGGATGTTTGCTTGTATGAAGCATCATAGCCATAGCAGTTTAAATCTCTCCTTCGTTCTCGATAACAAATATCATAAAATTTCAGTTTTGAGAGAAAAAAGGATAGAAATGTGTAATTTTCAAACTCTAAAAGTTTTATGTTTTATTCAGTTTTGAGTGTAGTATACGAAGATAGTTTGAAATTTTGCGTCTTTTAAGGAAATCTATGAAAACCACAAGGGCAGACTTCGAGGGCCACTTGCTGTCATCGGACTGCAGATTTATTTGAATTCTACTTCTTAGTGGAGGCATTATTAGAAGCATCTAATCATCAAAATTGTGTTTATTGTTTATTGTTTGTAATCTTAAATAATATTACACAGCAGTAAAGTATAAAAATATAATGTTAAATAGATCCATTCAAATATCTTACATGCCGAATGTTTCAAAGAAATTGCACACTTAAATATCTGCTGGAATAGTTAGCCCTAAGCCATTGGTTAAAAGTTGAGAGATCAAATAAGATGGGCTTTAGACTATGATAATTTTAACCATGTGACGGTTAATACATTCTCAGTTCTAAACCAGGACTTATGTTCGATAATAGTGAATTTTGGATATGAGTTAGCAAGTTCCAAGTGAAGCTTATATAGTTCAAGTTCAATTTTGGATAACTGCTGACGTGTAATCCTTATAATGGAAATGTAATCCTTACAATGGAACATCCTTATAATGGAAATGTTGTGCCGAAAGTTCTTTGAAGCGGTTGGTGGCAGGGAAACAGCGATGAGATACATTAGGATCCGTCCTCCGGGGACTTGGCATCAATAATGCGACGAAACGAGGAAACTCGTTTAGGTATCTGTAGATTTCAAAAGACTGTAAGGATTATGTTAATTTTATTAACAGTTAAATTTTAAGTTAAAGTTCCTTTCCTGTCAAATTCTTAACTTCAACTTACTACTTCCGGCCAGAACGTAGTTTTGGAATCTTGCTGAATATTTAATGAGGAGGAGCGGTATTTAAACCACGAAGTTACTTACTGAGTTAGAGAGAATCAGAGTTTCTGATTTACGCGCGACTGCCTTTTTGACCACTCTCTCTCTCAAAGCTGTCATTACGCTCGGCCGTACTCAGGCCCTTGCTAAGGTTCGTAGTCAAATAGGTTAAGGGGCCAACTCGATTTGAACCTTGATAGCTTCGGCTATACTTCTTTAGTTAATCTTAGTTTTAGTTCAATTCTTAGTCTTTTAAGTTCAAGTCCAAGTGCGGGGTTTGCTTGTACACTCCCAGGCGGAGTTTTGTTAAAACTTATTGGAATAATAAAGGGTTAGTTACCCTTCTATCTTGTTGTTTCTTGTCACCGAACTCAAGCAATTATTCTCTTATCAGTCCTTAGATTCTTCACTTCCAACATTAACTTAGAATTCCAAAGTGAGGAACTCTACAAGACTTAAGCCAAAGACAAGCGCAACCTTTGCCTCTTGGCCATGATAAAATTCATGGATCTGATCTGGGTCTGGGTTAAATAAAGAGGATAACAATGGATTATGAGACAGCACGACTCATTCTATGACAGCAACATTAAACTATATGCCAGCATTCCTGAATCTTCGCTGGCATGATTTATTGCATGACAGCGTTATATAAAATATTTCCATCGTAATCAGACTCAAACCTAAAGTAAATTTCAGTTAGAAAATTAAATAAAATTTAATAAATTCAGTCATTAAAGTAATGCAGTCATTAAAATTAATTCAATTAAAATAGAAAATTATTCTTACTAATTTATTTAAGAATGAAGGAGATCTAGAGATATATCTTTAGTACCAAGTAGTAATATTTTTTAACAAGTAATTCTAAGTAGAAACTAAATTTTACATCACTGTCCTAATTTTTTAACTACTGAATTCGTGTATCTGTTTCTCTTTCCAGGCGTGTCCCTCTTTTTATTTATAGTGGCTCGATTCAGTGCATACGAATGGGTGAATCCTCACCCATGCGAACTAGAACCGGAGGAACTGGAGAACCAGTTTACACTCCTCAACACACTCTGGTTTACCATCGGATGTCTCATGTGTCAAGGATGTGACATAACACCCAGGTAACTTACTGATTTTCGTTGAACTAATTTTGAATGATCGCGCAGCTTGATTATCCGGACATCTATTCTCGGAATGATGGAGTGTCTAAAATCTCTTTGGATTGACGTCGGGAAACTTTCATCACGAGTCTTGAGATTAAATGCAAATTATGTAGACGTTGGATCACTAAGAGTGCTTATGATTACCTGACCAAGATGACTTTTGTGTCATTTATCAGTTGGCAACTGTTGTGTTCACGTACCAAGACTTTTGTGTTCACGTACTGCGTCTTGTATTTGTATTTTTGTTTTAGAACTGTTCCGTCACCTCCTCCGTTTCCATTCAGACTGAAACGTACCCTGTACGTTTCAGTCTGAATCTGGACAATAAGGAAAGAAAAATGTTTCTAAAGTCTATTATTCTTAATTAGGGCTTTAAACCACGGCCAAAAACCAGTCAAATAAGAGTTATTAGTTTCTGAAAAGAATGAACCAACAAGCATATTAGCTGCAAATTACAATATACCAAACCCTGAAATACATAAAATTAAAAATTAAAACACTTTTATCAACAAACCTAAAGCCATTTACAGCTTGATGTGCATTGTGCCATTCCATCCAGGCCTATCCTAGCGGAGGGCAAGAAGGTCTACAGTAAGTGGGCATCCAAATTTATTGGCGTCGAAAGGATTGTCAAACATATTATACTTCTGTAAAAAAGGTCGGAATATTAATTTGCATATGGAGAGCCCACGTTCTAAGATCAGTAATGATTCCATCAATACTCAATGGCGATCAATTTTGCCTAAATGTTGCGACTGAATATCCATCTGTATCTGAGTCCCAAAAAAGACTATCAGTTTGTAATAAAAACAGTCTAGTGCTTTTCCTTAGAATTTTAGTGGCAGCAAATATTCCTTAGATATCAAACCCCTGTACATATTACTCTGAAAATACCTTCCTGAGAATATGAGTTCCTGTTTGAAAATTACTATCTCTTCACTGCTTCATACATCTCCTCGTTTATTAACTTTAGTTTATCAAAACATTAAAGCGTGAAAACAAATATCCTATATAAACTATGCAACACCAAATGCACCACGCAACTTTCCTAAGAAATCAGATTTCGCTGGACCAGCTTGAAAGGTGGATTTCTTTGCGCAACAGTCATTTAGAGATCCAAATATCACTTCGAAGGCTGTGCTGCGTCTGGTTAAACCAACCAAAAAAAAAAAAGGTTATACCTCGAAGGAACTCAGCAGCCGATATGAGCGATAATCGACTTCAGCCTGGCATCCGAGTTATGTTGCCGAGTGATAATAATAGCTTATACACATAGGCAACCACCAGTCGCCGAGCGGCTAACTTTCTGAACACTGGTAATTCTGACATGGATTTGATTCCAAGAGTATAGAATGACTTCATAGGCGTTTTAATGGTTTTCCTCATGTTTAATGTGCATATGAGCCAATTTGCCGTAGAAAGTCCTCCATGAAGGCCATCGTTTCCGCTATGCAGGTAGCCCTAGCGTGCTTTGACGTAATCAAATGTACCAAAACCAAACCATATGCAAAATTCACTGAATTGCTGAGATTGACTCGGATTTGTGCGAATTTGTTTTTCGATTCATAAGGTATTTTCTCCCTCCCTTCCGCACTCTTTCGTGATGTAATTGGAAGCATACTCAACTCGTATTCGAGAGGTCTAGGATTCGAGTCCTGGAGAAGGCATTTCACATTTTTCAATTTCTTTTCTAAAAAAAAAAAAAAAAAACTAATGTCCTTTTTTTAAGTGACATCTTATAAGGTATTTACCCCACCTTCTTCTTCTTCGGCGTGTACAGGTCAGTACACCCCGACGCGTATTCGAGAGGTCCGTGGTTCGAGTGCCGGCGAGGGCATTGCTCATTCTTCGAGTCTCCCAGCATCAAAAGTACCTAATGTCTCTACAGTGGCGCCCGAACTAAAAGGTGGCGAATGATAATTCTCCGCGACCAGGATTTGGCGACTGGGTCCCCTAAACCCCAGTCGCTCTTTAAAAGGGGGAGTATATAAGGTATTTTTTCTGCCTTCTTTGCATGCCTTCGTGGTGTAGTGTTCAACATGCTCGACGCGTATTCAAGAAATCCGTGGTTCGAGTCCCGGTGAGGACATTGCTCATTTTTCATCTCTCTTAGCATAAAAAATCCTAATGTCTCTACAACCCGAAATAAAATGGGGTGAGCGATAATTGGTCACCACCAGGATTTGTCGAATGAGTCCCCTAAGCTAAGCCCCAGTCAGTCTTTAGAAAGAGGGAGTATACATTTTCGCCCTATTTTCCGCATGCCTTCGTAGTGTAATTGAAAGCCTACTTGATGCAAATTCGAGAGGTCCAGGATTTGAGTCCCGATGAGCACATTGCACCTTTTTCAGATTCCTTACCAAAGAAAATTAAAGGCAATGACCCTACATATTCACATGGCACATTTCAAAATAGCACTTTTATGGCATCGCTTACTAAACAGGGAAACATTTACTGCAAAAATAACAATATTGCAGACAGCTGAAAGCCATTTTCTCGAGAAAATATCAGCAGAGAATCCTTAATTTTTTGGAATTCTTTGCAATGGAGCAATAAAAATGAAAACCAATGAATCGGCATTAAGCCATTTTCAGACAAATAATACATCGAAACATAAATACGTTTCCTTCTCGAATGCAGTACCTTCAGGCACCAAACTTAAATTGAAACGATACGAAATAGATTTATTTTCGGTAAGAATTCTTAGAAATCAAACATCATAAACCTTATTCTCAGTTTTCGGAAAACACGTTGCCGAAATATTACGCCATATTTTCTAAGATTTGAATTCAGCTTTGAAAACGTTTTGCGAGATGTTAGTTTTATTATTTTTCCTCGAAATAGTTCTTTTCCTCCATCTCGCGGTTTGAAATTCACATTTTTTAAATTACATTTTCAAAGCAGAGTTAGAAAACTTAAATTCGAACAACCTTAAATTTTAATTTATTCAATATATTTACATCCGAAATATTCATAAAATAAACTTTACAATATAATTAAATTAATTTAGGTTAATTAATACTTAGTCCCATAAAAATAATTTTGAAGCTTCGATGAGATTCGGAAATGTAACTTGATATATGCCGTACTTCATAGAATATTTAAGTTTAAAAGCGAAATTATTCATTTTATTGGTCGCCGTCCTGCATATTTCATTAACTCAGTCGGTGTTAAAAAGTAGTCGACTGAGAGAATATTATTTTGCAAGATAGATACTAATTTATGTCTCCAGTTAACTTACAGGATGTTATACAGCAACGTTGATGTTTATTTATGTCTCCAGTTAACTTCGAGAATATTATTTAGTAACATCGACTTTTATTTATTTTCCCAGTTAGCTTAGATACTATTTACTATTATAGATATTTATATATGTCACCCAGTTAGCTTAGAGACTATTTACTATCATAGATATTTATATATGTCCCCAGTTAACTTAGAGAATGTTATACAGTAACGTTGATATTTATTTATGTTCCCAGTTAACTTCGAGAATATTATGTAGTAACATCGACATTTCTTTATTTCCCCAGTTAACTTCGAGAATATTATTTAGTAACATCGACATTTATTTATTTCCCCAGTTAGCTTAGAGACTATTTACTATCATAGATATTTATATATGTCCCCAGTTAACTTAGAGAATGTTATAAAGTAATGTTGATATTTATTTATGTCCCCAGTTAACTTCGAGAATATTATTTAGTAACATCGACATTTATTTATTTCCCCAGTTAGCTTAGAGACTATTTACTATCATAGATATTTATATATGTCCCCAGTTAACTTAGAGAATGTTATATAGTAACGTTGATATTTATTTATGTCCCCAGTTAACTTCGAGAATATTATTTAGTAACATCGACATTTATTTATTTCCCCAGTTAGCTTAGAGATTATTTACTATCATAGATATTTATATATGTTCCCAGTTAACTTAGAGAATGTTATACTGTAACGTTGATATTTATTTATGTTCCCAGTTATCTTCGAGAATATTATGTAGTAACATCGACATTTCTTTATTTCCCCAGTTAACTTCGAGAATATTATTTAGTAACATCGACATTTATTTATTTCCCCAGTTAGCTTAGAGACTATTTACTATCATAGATATTATATATGTCCCCAGTTAACTTAGAGAATATATAGTAACGTGATATTATTTATGTCCCAGTTAACTTCGAGAATATTAGTAACATCGATATTATTTATTTTCCCAGTTAGCTTAGAGACTATTTACTATCATAGATACTTATTTATGTCCCCAGTTAACTTCGAGAATATTATTTAGTAACATCGATATTTATTTATTTCGCCAATTAGCTTAGAGACTATTATTTACTATGATAAATATTTATTTATGTCCTTATTTATATATTGCCTAAATTGGTCGTTTATAATGTTCCTAACTACTTCGTATATGAACGTAGAGGAACCTATTGTACTCTGCAGCGACTTAGTTCAAGTACTTAACAGCAAAGTCCAAAGAAGGGTTAAAATACCATTTTATTCCCTCAAAGAAATAATAACAGATGGACCCTTCTCGGCTTTATAGGGAAGCCACCATTCGTGTTTCTAGGGAATCCACCACTCGTGTTTATAGGGAAGCCACCACTCGGGTTTTAAATCAAGTTAAGAAAATAAGAAACTAATCTAATACTAAACTAACTTATCCGAAGATAAGCATAGTTTCTTAACGTAGTTGGCCCTTATTAAGTTAGCCGGCGGTTATCAACAGGCACGTGCAATACGGCCAAGCGTACTTGTCTTAAAACGAAGTAGCCTCATGAGAAACACGGCCCACTAAGAACTCCTAAGCTCTATTACCGAAGTTAAGTAAACCTTCCTTAAATATTCCTTCTACCTTATTTATCTGCAACGCGATACTGAAACTCATTCTGGTAGGGAGTTGTAAGTGGGAAACAAGAATTTAAATGAGGGGGTTTCAAAATTAAAATTAATTGTTATAAAATTAAAATAAACCTTACAACTTTGTTCAAAAACAGACTGTGTGTAACTTGCTCAAACGATTTTCTGGTAAAAATATTTTTGGCGGACGGGCAGTAAATGTACTTCATTCTTGGCAATAGTATCGTAAGTTCTCTGAAGGTTCAAAAGTTATCTTTAATTTTAATTGTTAATTAATTTTAAGTCGAATATACAAACAGCAAAACTGTGTTTAATGAATGGAAAGGTTTAATCTGTCAACGAAAAAAAAAATCGTTTCGGTAGTTCAAACCATTTATTTACCGTATTTCTACCGCTAAATTGATAGTGCTACCAATAATGAATTCTTTCGAGAGTAATGAATCAGTTTCAATAATTGAGCTTAATTCCTTTTTGAAGTTCGAGATAATTCTGTTACACTGAATCACCATAAATTTAGCGCTCGGAAAAAACGAATGATTGTATCAAATCAACATTAATCTGAGTAACGCTAATTGCAGCCCTACTATTTGTTACTCACAAATGAAGAAATATCATCAGCAATTACTTTAAAGACCGTTGCTTTATAACCCTTAGAACGATTCTTAAATTCCTTAAATGTAAAAATAAATGCACAGTTTCATTAAATTTATTAACTCTTTAATGGAATCCCTGTGTCACATTTCTCCAATTGGGGCATTGTGTTGTTAAAAGAGTCTCATTCATTATTCTTCTCAACTCTCTGGTCTGTTGAGCATTTTTCTCACTTTTTTACACAACGTTATGTGGGGAGGTGGGAAAAAAACAGAGATCGCGTGTTTTAATATTCCTGGAAACTGGTGCTGTTGAATATTCTAAAGCGGAGGCAATGTTTTGAATAATCGCAAAATAAAAAAGTAACAAGTAAAAAATAAAGCGATATATTCTACGTTACCATCTCACACGCAAGAGAGGGGGGGATAGAGAAGGCATTTAAAGCGCCACCAAAAGGCACCTTTTTTTTTTCTTTATCTCTTTTGTTCGAAAGTGACTTATGGACTTACGCTTGAATAGGGGGTTTTGTAGGAAAGAAAAATATAACGGTAGGTTTGCCAGTTTATCTCGTTTATCGTCTGCTGTCACTTTTGTCGGGCATTTTTAAGAAAACTTATCAACATTAGCTTACTCCCCGACCTATCCCGGCATTATTCACGCGACGGCTGTCTGTTTCATATGCGTAGATATCGCAAGCCTGATATGTTTGCAAACAAAACTCTGCGATAAACATAAAAGCCAGTAAACCAGCACATACTAATACTGTATTTTATTAATAAGTAGTAAATAAATATATCTTAGTACGCGAGATATGTGGTTTTAAAGGTATGTATTTGTAAACCTAGAACTGGAAGTTTTAGTCGTTAATCCCTCCTCCCCTCCAACCAGCCAGACTGCCAAAAAAGAAACAGGTTTATTTTCTTGGTTATTATGTCAAATTGCTCCTGGCATTTTGTACCTGGACGAAGGGTACGAAGGCTGCATGTTTGTAAGATTTTAGTTCTGTGTAACTTTTTTGCCTAGCCGTTGGCAATAAAATTTTGTACCTGGAATCGTTTTCTTTTCATATATTTCCTTAATTTTTTGGGCATATTTCAGAATTCCGGGTATACATTTCTTTAAAGGCGTTAAAGATTCATTTTCTAGGACGGTGTTATTGGCCAGAGATTTTAAAGAAGCTAACTTGTATCGATGTACTGAAGCTATCTTGCATTAGAAAAGGCGAAGAGGAAAAACGTGTGTGGCGTGGATGCACTTAACTGATCAATGTTTCTTAATTTTTACCCGAAATATTGTGAACATTGAAGTTTTTTAAATTTAATAATTTTATGAATTGATTTATTTTGTTAATGTTACTGCTAATGTTGTGCGATGTTTGCGCTATGTTGTAAAATAAAACATTAAGTTATCCACATTCATTTAATCCTTATCTAAATATTATTCCTTTATTACTTAATTCTAGGCCCACCAGCGGCTGACGCTGTAAAGTTGCTGAACACTGGAAGTTTGACCTGGGCTCAATTCCGATCGAATGGGCTGGCTACATGAGCATTTTGTGGTTTTAGCGATGTGTAATGTCGATACGAGGTTATTGAATGCCGTGAAGGCATCTGTTTCCCTACGCTGATAGCTCTCGTGTGCTATGCCATAATTAAATAAACCACTGTATTATTTAATTTCGTTTAATCTTACCGCCAAGTCTCAAAATATATTCTAGACTTTGTGTAGCTTATCGTTAAGTCTCAAATGTAAGGATGCGTGTAATCTTATGGTTAAGTCTCAAATGTAAGGATGTATTTATTCTCTATTTTTTAATTCGTGATGTGTTACTTCAAATGTAACTTATCATGCCCATGCTAATCATACCGTAGCAAGCTTAGCTTAGAAAATCGGGCTCTTACTAGTAAACAAGTAAAAGCTCAAAAGAAAGAATGACAGCTGGCAAAATTGTAACTATAAATCACAAGTAGAGAAATTAAAACACCAGAATTTTGGTGAACTTTAACATATAAATTTATAATCATATAAATCAAGATATTGTGATAAATATTTGATTGTATTTTGAATTTAGCATACTGTTATAAAGGTATGCGCGGTTTATATTTATTTATTTACTGCATTTTATAGAATAATTTTTGCGTTTTTATTTAAGCGCATTTTTGACCTCATACTTTGTTTATCAGTGTTTATTTTAAAACTAGACTTCGACATCTTGTGATTATGAGCTGATCAACATTTAAATCGTGAAAATTACTCAGAAGCTGAGCTACAAGCGAAAACTCTCATGACAGGCCTTAAGGACAATTTCTGTCGCCAGCTTGGTGACTTTCTAGAAAATCCTGGAAATCATATTTTCGAAGCCTTAGCCTAGTTTTCGCTTTTATGCTTCTCTTTTAGAAGAAACTTAAAAAAAGAAGGATGTTTTAGGAATTCTTTTGTTACAGAAAATTATTATTATTATTATATTTAAAAGCATGTATACATTATTATCTTAATAATGTATACATGCTTTTAAAAGTTGTTATTCGCGTCAGTAATAGTACTATTTTAAAACACTTTCCGTTTAATTCTTTTTTTTAAAATGCATATTTCTTAGTATACGTCTGAATGTTAATGCATATTTCTCACCTTAGTATATATCTGAATAGCATATAAAACATTTAATTCAACTATCAGCTTACTGAAATTTTCTGTACTTTATAATTAAAAATATTTAACCAAAAAAAAGTTTAATGAGCACAAAATTTCTTGAATTAAACCATAGGGATTTTAATTCGTTAAAACGTACTGAAAATTAGCTTTGCTGCATACGTGTTCGCCTTGCTAGAAAACATGTTTTACAGAATTGGTTTTGGTTTGGTTTATTTGTTTACGACAAAGTAAGCGAGGGCAAACTGCCGAAAAGGAAGGCTACGAAAATGCCCATGCAGCTACCTCGTTCGCCTGATATCCAACACAGATCGAACTACCAGTGTTCAACAAATTTACCGCTCGAAATCTTACGGGCTTTGTTTCACAGGAAAGCTATTATTGAAGCTTTTGAAGTTTTTGATATTCATTAAAAATGCTTATTATTGTACCTCATCTCTTTTCAAAATCACTAATTTAAACATTCTTGCAGATTCTTAGAACCTATAATCCGCTATTTTACTTTGATAATTTTACATGTACTTAAACTTGTGAATAATATCACTATACGTTTTGCATGTCCATGATCTTGTACTTTCACATGAACCTGTACTTTTTGCATGTACTACATGAACTTGCAAATACAATATACCGTAGTTAGCTTCAACGATATTTGAATCGTTGAAACTAACTACGGTGTTTATAAAAATAATCTTCAGCAGCATTCTTTCTGCGTGTTTTTTTTTTTTTTTTTTTTTTTTTTTTTTTTTTTTTTTTTTTTTTCCTCCCATACATATATATATATATATATAAAGAGAGAGAGAGTTATTTTTTTAGCCCAAAGGGCTGTTAATTTTGCTCAGAAAGGCTGTTAATTCCTTTTTGGCAGTTTGCGTCGGTTCACTATAAACGGGCCACTTTTCAGATTGTTGACACCGAATGTTACAGCCCTGTATTATATTTAAAGAAATTAAATAATGAACAATCTTCATCAATGTATGAATGTTTCTCGCACTGTGAAAAAACAAAGGTACCCAGGGACATCAAATTTTGATTAGCATAGTCCGCCATTAGAACATGGCCTCTAGAAGCTCAAATTTGGAAATTGTTTTATTACCTGTTTCATGTCAAACATTACAGAATTTTTTATTAACAAACTCAACGATTTCAAAGCGAGCAATGGCAACACTGTACGAAAAAAAAATTTATCTCCAGCGCGCGAGAAGATATATCGGAAATTCTAAAGCTCTGCTCATTTAAAAATGATTTTGCGATATTCCTGTTGAATTGAATTTAATGGTTTAAGTGCGAAGAACATGATATTTAATCAGGTAACACACAAAACGTTAAAAAGTCCTTTTGGACGGAAATCTAAAAAAAAAGTAATTAAAAAATTTTAAAAATTTAAAAAATTTAATATAAAATTTTTATTTTTATTTAAATCTAATTAAATTAAAATTTAATATTAAAATTATTATATTAAATAATTATATTAAATTAAAATTTAATATTGAATTTATTAAAATCTGAAAGCTTTCAGATTTTTTTAATAATTATTACTTATTTTTTTATTAGAGCTAATTCAACAAGAATGATTGCCGTGATGTGGTGGTTCTTCACTTTGATCATGGTATCTTCTTACACTGCCAACTTGGCGGCTTTCTTGACAGTAGAGAGACTTGCGTCACCAATTGAGAGCGCTGAAGATCTCGCTAAACAGACCACCATACCGTACGGATGTGTTGCATCTGGGTCAACTCAGTCGTTCTTCAAGGTAAATATGATCGCACTTTTGATTACTCACATCTGTGCACTCAGATGAAAATTTTCTCTAAAATTAAAAAAAACAATTGCTTCTTAATCTATGTCTACAATCAATATTGATTAATCGATACTTTAGCTTTTCAACCATAAAAATAATTTTAAATTTATTTTAGTAGTAATTTGATTGTTACATTTAGAAAATGAGCATTACTTTTATACATATATTTGTAAAAAATATTTTTGTCAGTAATTTGTTAAATTCCCTATTTTGAATCTATTTTATTTGCTGACCACTTTTACTTCCTTGTATAAAATAAAGTAATCACGAAAAATTTCGGAAATCATATTTCAACGGAAATATCTATTTTGACAGCTGTCGAATGATTTGAGTAATTTTTTATATATTTTTTTCTGTGACATCTGCCAATACGGACAAAATAAAGGACACTTTTTTCCAAAACGAATTGTAAAATGGATTTAAAATGTATCCAGAAGAAACTTTTCTCATGACGTTTGTACGTATGTATATGTAGTGGTATCTCACCAAACTCAAAAACGAGTAGCCTTAGAACTTTGAATATTTGTATATTGGACTACTACTACAACATGTAGTTGTGCATTTCTCTTTTTCGTTGCTATCCGCAGCAACAAACACATACACGCACATAGACACACGCAGATATGTATATTCCCACCCTGTTACCTGGCTCTGTGGAACTCTGTGTTTTTATTCTCGCAAGTTGTGCATTTCTTGTCTGAAAAGTGGTTGAATTATGTTGTAATCCTGTTCCGGTTAAGGTTTTTATGCCTTTAGTTAATCTGCAAACAATATTTGTAGAACTATCAGCAATTTAAACGTTTAGGTGCCGCTAAGCTTAAGGAGGCCGTCATTTGTTTACATTTGAAACTCTCAATAGAACAGCGAATTAAGTCAGCTGGTGCAGTAACTTCAGTGTCTTTTTGCCGAATGTGGCCCAAAAGTTCACTTTCAATTTTCTGCACCGAAAATTTGGTCTTCCAACCCGCTGTCGAATTGCTTGTTTTGACTTAGAAACTCGAATTTTAATTGCAAAAACTTTTTTTTTAACTTATAAGGTATTTCTCCCGCCTTCTTGGCATGTCTTCGTGGTGTGGTGATCTGCACGCTGGACGCGTATTCTAGAGGTCCGTGGTTCCATTCCCGTCGAAGGTGCTTGCTCATTTTTCATCTTGCCTACTTATGAAAATACCTAATATCTCTACAAAATGTCTTAACTGTATATGGTGTTTTAGGTTTTTCTGTATTTTACAGTGGTTAATAAAGATGTTTTGAGATTTTATGTATTTTTGTTTTGCCGCGAAACGAGAACTGTGTTGATTGAATTAGAAGTATATCTCTAATAAAACTCGACCAAATAAGTTTAAATGTAGTGCTGTAAGAAATATGTATAATTTAATAGGCGTACAAGGAAGTCACATGCTTTCCATATCAGATATTTAATTTTATGATGACTAAAATGTTGAAACTTCTGACGTAAAATCTTTAAGCGGCGCGCACATTTTATGTTCCTGAATTCAATTCCAACCTTGCAACGTATTTATACGGACGCCTTGGTATTTATTTTAGCATGTATGTAGTAACAAAAAATAGCTTGCAAGAAATCTCATGATGTAACTAGTAGTAAAGTTATAGAGGCATTAGGTTAATTGGAAGAGTCGGAGAGATAAAACGTGAGCATACGCCTTCGCCGAGTATCGTACCGCGAACCTCTGGTATACGCTCCCAGCGTGCAGACCACCACACCACGAAGGCATGCCAAAAAAGGCAGGAGAAATACCTTATATACTCCCCCTTTTAAAGGGCGACTGGGGTTTTTAGGGGTCCCACTCGCCACATCCTGAGTGGGGGGAATCATCATCCACCCCTCCCACTTTTAGATCGGGCGCCAGTGTAGAGACATTATGTATTTTTGGAAGCACGCAAGATGAAAAATATGCAAGCGCCTCCGCCGGGAATCGAACCTCGGAGCTCTGGAATACGCGCCCTGCGTGCCAACCACCACATCACGAAGGCATGCCAAGGAAGGCGAGAGAACTACCTTATAAAATCAGCTAGCAATTGGAATATCCATGGTTCGAATCCCGGCCTGGACATAACTGATTTTTCATGTTCCTCCTGGCTTATAACCTATCTACCTCCTGGCTTATAACCTAATAACCTACCAGATCCTAAGGTAACACCCGAATTAAAATGTGGTATGCAATAATTCACCATCTGAATATGGTTGGTTGGGTCTCATACTCTCCTCAGACTTTTTCTTTATCTCCATATACTTTTTTTTAGCGAAGGAAAAACTAAAAAAAATTCTTAATATATAAAATTTCTCTTAAATACCTTCTATTGTATAGTATCAATCGTTACAAGAAACTAGAAGCTTCTTCAAATGATTAAAATATGTTTTCGAATACATTAACACAATATTAAAATAGATAACTCGATCATACTATAAGGAAATTACTAAAACGCTTCTGCATGAGTTTTTAATATCTTACATAACGGTTTTAAAAAACTCAGATGCTATACATTAATTGCGAAAGATTTTTGCTCAAAATTTCAACTGTTCACTTAATTTCAAAAATGATTTTTTATCATTTCTAATTCTTTTTTCTTCGGTACTACTCTTACTTTCCTAATTCAGGTATTAAACTGCTCACATTGAGACATAAAAATCTATAGCTTAGTTTTTTTCCGATTTTACGTCCCATTAGTTCATATTATGATTACGTCACGGTACCAACCATTTATCACCCAAGCTTCTTCGAAACTCTTTCTGTTCTACAGCTATAACTAACCATTTTACTAAATGTTTATGGCCATTGGGTAGCAAAAAAACGACATTCTTCTTCTTTCCCGACATTTTGTATGATAATAAGTATAATGTAACAAATAACGAAGTTTTTGATGTTCATAACTCGGCTATGGTGCGCTAAATATTTTCTGGAAACTTTCTTCTATTCATTTTTAATACCTTTTTAGAATAAACTTTAATGTTCTTATATCGATAGCGCAAAATATTTATTGTTAACCTATTGCAAATTATTCTAGTTTTGTCTTGTTAGCCCAAAAGGACGTATTAGTCTCAGAATGAGATTCTGCATTCATTCGTTATAAACTGTGCATAACTTTTCCAACTGTTGCCATCAAATATTACTGCTCTGTATTATTTTTTAAGAAATTAAATAATGAAGAATCGGCATGTATAAAATAATGGAGAATCTGCACGTATTCCTCGCATTTGTAAAAAACGACGATACTTAGAGCCATCAAATTTTGAATAACGTAATCCTTCACTCGAACATGTTCATCTGGAAACCTGCATTTCGAATTTGTTTTATTATTTATTTCATATTTTAAGAAACTTTAATGACCTTCTGATTAACAAATTCAACGATCTTAAAATAAGCAGTAGCAACAATATGAACACTTTTATCTCCTGCGGGCTAGACTGTTTCCATTCGAAAAAATGTAAGATGTAAAATCTTTCAGTTTTAATTAACACACTCACCTGTGTGAAAGCAGTGTGTTGCCACGGCCGAAAATAAAATACTTTTATCTTCCGCACTAGCATGTTGCCATTCATTAATGCCTAAAATACTTCCAAATTTAATCTAGAAGGCTATTGAGTAACAAGCAAAGCTATTTAAAAACAATAAACACAGTTGTTAAGAATATTTCTTTCCACTTTTTAATGTGCTTCATTTAAATAAACGGGTATTAAAATCATGAGATGTCTAATTAAAAATATTTATGAAATTATGCTAGCTAATATTTATGAAATTATGCTAGCTAACATTTAAATAAACGGGTATTAAAATCATGAGATGTCTAATTAAAAATATTTATGAAATTATGCTAACTGATCAAAATCATTACATGCTTCTTCTTTTTCACGATAACTATTTTATGCAGTTGGTTGAGCAAACGTCTAATTTTTAAAGAAATAATGCAGCGAATATAAAAATATATATGGCAAACTCTAGCACTCTATTGAAGACTCTAAACAGATGTAGATTTTAAAACTTTGTGATTTTGTTGTTTAACTGTATATGGCGTGAATGCAAAGAAACCGATTGTAGGGTTTATATTTATTTTAACTAACATTTATTTTAAGTTTAAACTATCTTTCCTGTCAAGCCTTACTTTTCCCTGGAACTGCCAATGCCAGAATATGTAAATTTTAGTAGAACGCGCAAGGATTCAAATTATCAGCGTAAGTATTATGATTTAAATAGAAGGAAACGAGTTCGGTGGGTGTGATATTCTTACTTCACGAGCGCGGAGGTAGTTAGCGAGAAATTGAAGAAACCCCGCGTTTCGGCCTATGTGCTTGGCGGGAAGTAGTGTTAATCGTTTCAAGTGAGCTTCAAGTTGCTGAATTAGCAGCGGTATTGTAAAACGCGGTGAGTTAGTTGTTTTTAGAGAGCCTCGTAGTTAGAATCTTGTCTTTAGTTTCTTTTCAGGTTATTATTTTTATTTTGACCGCCGAGGTTGGACGCAGTTTGTGAGCGTCAAGAGCACGCAATTGTAATTTATTACGTTGAATAAAAAGGGACTTAAACCCTTCACAAGACTCTGTGGTTTATCCAAGTTTCACAGTCACCTCTTGGTTGCGTGCAAGTTGGAGGCGCGCAACGTTACATTGGCGCCCGAAACACTTATCGAACTGAAATGGCCGAAAAATTGGATGGAAGCCGCTGGACAACACCAAGAAATGACAACTCAGTTAGAAGGATTTGGATACCTGGTCCAGACTTTGAGAGCGTCAATCAAGCCAAAACGTCCATTTCGACGGAAAAAATTCGGTGGCGGTATTTCTAGAAGGTCTATAGAAAACCACTTTCAGCTCTACCCTGTTCCTGAAAGACAAAAAGTTGCCATCGCCACATCAGCACTAAGAGGACAGGCCGCGCTATGGTGGAAAAATATAGGCAAATTTCTATTAGGGGAATTTGGAAGCCAGACATATACAT